CCCTAGGGCAGTATTTGTTTTTGCAGTGATTGGAAGAACAAAGCAGAGAAATCAATGTTGCTCAAATTTGTGACGGATATTCATCTCCACTTTCTGCAAGATGCAGCTCACTTTCCAAAATAGGGAAACTGTCGGAGAGGAATGAACTAATTCAAGAATAAGTTTTGACCCTATGTCTTGCCTTGCCCTACTGACCTATGTATGCCCAAGGATTATTATCGCAAAAGGTAACTCAATGCATAACAACATCAAATTCTCGTTCCAGCAACAAAATACAAAAATTGTCAGGTAATCAGCGACAAAAACCATGACAGGCCCTTCACCCGAAGACCCCTCCAGATTACACCTTTTCTTATTTTTCTATGCCACTCAAAACATAAACCATCTATAAAAGTGCACATTTTGAATTATGCGCCGCTTCTTACCCTACTGATTGTTACAAAAAGCATCAGACCGGCTTCAACCTCCAAACTGATCTACCTAGTCGACTTAATCGCCTGTGGCGAATGCTCTAGCATTTTTCGATTCCAGACACTGACAAGAAGCCTGCAGAACGGCCTTGGTGCAGGTGTAGCTTTTGCTGAAAAGAATTTCCCAGAAAGTCCTGTACTTTGAATGCAACAATTCGAAAACCTATGAAGATAAAGGGTGACACGAAAGGAAATCCAAAACTAGATGATGACAAAGAAGATGGTTTAAAATGTAAAATAGGGAGAAAAAGATGACACTTTTGTTCTGTCTCTAGTCTAGAGATCTGCCATGGTGTACCTGTCGATTGTCTAAAATTAACAAGGCGTCATTTTGACGCTTTTCTTACTTCATTGGAGGTATTTCAGTCATGCTGACTCGGTATAAGGCAGAAAAGTCAGTTCGGCTGTTCAACCCCTCCTCAGACATTTCTTCTTATTACAATGAATGCAAAATTTCTCATCAACTAGAAAAGCACACTCGCAAACAAATTGGGTAGCAATTCTCTTCATCGTTCTTATTAGAGCAGAAATAAATACTGCTTCAAGGTTTTTGTGGAGTTGCCATTGTCTCGGTCACTTCTAGGTGAATTTGATGTTGTTATGCATTGGGTTGCTTTTTGTGATAATGATCCTCCGGCATAGGTCAATAGGGCAAGGCAAGACATAGGGTCAAAACTTATTCTTGAATTAGGTCATTCCTTTCCGACAGTCTCCCTATTTTGAAAAGTGAGCTGAATCTTGCAGAAAGTGGAGATGAATATCCGCTACAAAATTGGACAACATTGATTTCTCTGCTTTGTTCTTCCAATCACTGCAAAAACAAATACTGCCCTAGGGTTTCATAGAGCCGCCATTGTCTCTGTCGTGAACTTCAAACAATTCAAAAGTAAAAGTTGTCGCAGCTGCTAACGCCCATGGTATGGAAGAAAGAGGGTATTGAACTTGCTATAAAAGTACCATGACGATGCTATAGACATTCACATACATCGTGAGGTATGCTGATACCTATCTCGATTGCCTGCTTCGTAAGTTTCATTGACTGTTGGCCTTAAGTAGTGAACAGTTTTTAAACTTTACCCATTTAGGCGCTCCTCGCACCAGTTCGTCTGGAGGGTGAGTATTTGTCCATATTTTAAAAGCTATGATTCAGACTCTTGGTAATTGAATTTTTCAGCCTCGTTCTGCCCTGATTCTAACAATGGCATGACTGATGAAATCAGGCAGATTTTCGTAGATAGGCACAATGAGTATCGGTTGGTACTGTCTGAGCAAAACGTATATTAGATCGCATCGACCGCACGCTTAACGAAGTTTTCAGATCTAT